ACCACAAAAACGCATGCACCGGCGGGGACTGCAGAAGAACGCGAGAGTTCAGGCTTTAAAAGTTAAGTAGTGTAGGGTTTAGGGACCACGGCAGGTTGCCACGCTGACTCTCGACATTTCGAGCTTTTTGGTCGCCAAACCGGCACCAAAGCTTTGAAAATTGCATATGGGCTCTTGCAGTGATTCGGCATCCCCGACACGGCGAGGATACGATTTCTGGTCGAAAATTCGACCTGCACCGTGCCACAGAGGGAACCGTTCAAGCGTCTAACCCTTTCACACTGAAGGTAGGAACCATATACTGTTACGCTGTTGGAGACATCGGACATGTTCGAGGCCTTTTCTGAACTTCTTCAATCTTTCTGAGTCGGATATCCCCAGAGACTATGCGTGGTCGGCAAGGGTAATTAACTTCTTTGTCATAGTTGGGTAACATTTTACATTTTTATGGGTACTTGAACCCAATAAGGAATCAAAGTGTACATTTTTAGTCCTATCCCAACAATGAACTAGACTTCTGTTGTCAACGTGCAGGTGGGCTCTCCCCGAGAAGCGCTTCAGGCGTCACTTGGGGGGATCTGCCTCCTCGAAGGTTCATGGATTACGGTTTGGGTTCTTTAGCGGTTTAGGGTTGTGGTTGCAATTTTTTCGGTTAGTGCGATGGGTTTGAGCTATTTAGAGGGCTTAGCAGTGGTCATTAGTGGAGATTACTCAGTCGGAGAGTAGGTAACCTTTAGCCTTTTTGGGATATTGTTATCATCCCGATATAATCCCAAATACATATTATGCTTCAGATGGCCTAGTATAATGGACAGTTACGATTATGTTCAGGTTCCCGAATCCTCAAACCCCAAAACCAAGAAGAAAACGCCTAAACTTTCCGCTTTTCGCTGTAAACCCAAACGGACTAGACTCATGAATCTAAAACCCTAAACCCAAGCTGGACCCTTGACTCTTAAACCAGCCAGATCTTAGCCAGTTTCGCTTCCAATGTCTCCATCAAGGATAGAAACATGGAGCCTTGAAAATAGGTCGCCAACTCGGGTGTTTTGGGGCTTTATAGGATTTGTAAACGGTTCTGTAGGATGTTGAAAGATGGTTTTGCTTTTTTTGTAGTAGTTGTTTATCCGTTGCGGATTCTCCTGCGACTAAGTTCCATCCCTAAACCCTAAACCCTAAACCCCCAAAACCCAACCGAGCGGCATCCCTTAGTGTAAGGAGCCCAATAGGAGCGCACAGGGTAACTTCGCGTCTGAAAACCGCGACAAGGCTGTGCTGGAGGCCCAGGCGGCGACTCCTGGAGCACAACCCAGACCCCCGGGAGGATCCAAAAAGTAGATCCCTTAACGGGGGTTCCTATAAAGTACCCTATAGTAGTATGGGGCCCCAAATTAGGGGATCTACTTTCTAGATCCTCCCGGGGGTCTGCAAAGGCAGGGAGATGGCATTGGAGCCGGAGGCCACAAACAGACCAGGAGCTGAAAACTAGCATCTGGCGCTTCCACAAGAGCGGGAAGATCGAATACCACTGCTGGCCCGCTTGGAGCGAAAACTGTGGATAGGCATGTGCCCCCAAGAACCAGGGGAGGTCCGGGAATTCCGGGGCCCGCCCTTGTACATGGAGTCGGGGCGAGTCTTGCCAACGGAGACTGACAGCTAGGGGAAGCTGGAAAGATTCTGACCCAAAGCCTGAGTCGTAGAGAGTATTAGGGAGACCCCTTAAAGGGGACCCTTCTTAATCCTTCTTCTGGCTCACCTTACTGAGAGGGTCTACATCCCCAAGGGTCCTAATCCTGGAGAGAGACAGAGGGTCTCCTAAACTTCATGAAGCTTGAACTCGTAAACTAAAAAACACCTAACGCCCTCAAGCCCTAAACCCTATAGCCTCAACCCTAACCCCCTTTAAAGTGCCATTCACTTCTTCTTCCTCTGTCAAGGGACCCCTAACGGAACCCTTTAAGGAACTCCTACAAGGAACCCCTTACAGAACCCTCAAAGGAACTCCTACAAGGAACCCCTAACAGAACCCTCTAAGGAACTCCTATAGACCCAGCAAGTGGGCGGCTGAAAGAGCGAAGGTCGTCCCTGTCTGTCCACAATAACCTTAGTTCCCCAATACCCAACCTTTAAACTTTTTGGGTTCTTATAGTTTAGTAGTAGCCGGAAAGTTTAACCTTTTGTTTCTGTAGCTTATAGGGGAAGTAAGTAACTGGAGTTCAGAATCTTCACAGAGACTAGCATATCCTCTCATCAAGGGTGGCTCCGGGAGGTACGGGGGGTTTGGGAGTCTCTGCGTAGCTAGGGGTAGGTCTTAACTTTCAGGCCTTTTGCACCCGTGTCTGCCATACTCTGAAACTCCCAAGTCTGTGACCCTAAACCCTAAACCCTAAACCCTAACCCATATAATAGCTATATTAAGGGTATATACCTAGGGGTCCTTATTAAGGGTCCCTCAACCCTAAACCCTAAACCCTAAACCCTAAACCCTAACCTTAAGCGCCCGACCCCCCCTGCGACGACTCTGCCTTCATCCCGACACCCGTAGACCCGCCCACGGCCCGCGACTTCAGCAAGTTCGTTTTATGTCTCTGCTGGGAGGATCATGGGACTTAGTAAGTAAGTTATAAGTGGGGTTATAAGTGCCCTAAGTGGGGTTATCCTAATTATAACCTACTTATAACCTTACTTACTAAGTCCCATGAGCCTCCAAGTAGCTTCCAGTGAGGATTTAAGGTTTAGAGTTTAGGAATCTTCTTTGCATTGAAGTGAGAATCCCTAGATCAGTCTAGGGGGTATTCCTTAGCTGACAACATAAATGTAACATAAGGCCTTCCGTGACCAAACCGTGCCCGCAGAAGCCCGAATGGGGGAACCAAACCCTGAGATTCTTGGCACCTGCGTGTCTGCGCAGGTCCGATATCATCCAACTCTGGGTGTGGTCTAGCATGGCATGTTTGAAGTGTCCGGGGCTTCAGAGCCTAGGAATTGGAAACATCAGAGCCGGAATTTTCCTATTTCCGCTTTCTATGAAGGGCTCCGCAGACCCTGGTTTCGTCATTGTGGCCCTATGGCCGGGAGAGGAGACTGAGAAGAATCTACACATTGCACTAGAGAAGTTTGATTCCAGAGTGTGCTCTCCAACAGGAACAACAACAAGAATAATGCTAATATTGCTACTAATACTGATAACAATAATGCTATGAGCAATACTAAATTACGAAAAATGCTGACAATACTAATACTAGCAGGCACAGCAATAAAGTTCAAAACCGCCCGCCACCGCATCGCTCAGCCTCCACTGCTTTGTTCGCATCCTTTCCGTGGTCAATGCTCTCTGCTACTTCGAGGTCATGCATCAGTTGGGTAGTTGTCAATATTAGGGTCCCTTTTTGGGTACCCTGAATATTAGGTGCCGTATTTTATTGAGGACCCAAATAGGGACCCAAATATTGACAACCACCCAGTTGCACGGGGTCATGCATCATAGAAGGCCAAAAGGGGTTGTAGCCTATGGGGGTTTAGTAGGGATTAGGGTTCCCAGAATAGGGTTCATATTAAGGAACCCCTACCCAAAGAATCTTAGACCCCCCTTTTGGCCTCCCATCAATGCATCAGTTGCAGGTTCTTGCGTGCAGCGCAGTAGGAATTGAAAGTCTGGTAGCTGGGTGCTGGTGGCGTTAATGATCTTGGCCCTGCAATTTCTTCAATCCCAAGACCCTAAACCCGAAACACTCCTCTCAATCTCTAAACCCTTAGAAGGATCTCTTAGAAAGGGCTTCCGCGAGTCGCCCCACGGCTCCGAAGAAGCAGTGCTGTAACCTAAAATAGTAGGATCGTGGTTATAAGGACCCCAAAATACGGTACCCCTGATTTTTTCGGAAACTCCAGGGGGCTCCACATCACCGCATTCGGAGTCTCTTCCATTTTTGCTTCGGGGTCTGATTTGGAAACTCTGGAGTTTAGTTGACGGTCGATCCGCAGGCTCGGGGTTTAGGGTTTGGTTAGGGTTCGGGTTTAGTATTTGGGGTTTAGGGTTTAGCGAGGGTTTAGAGATTAGAATTTGGGGTTTAGAGATTAGTTAAGTAGTTAAGCTGTAGGAAGGACAAGACATTGAGAGAACAATTGGCTGCCCTGGAACGCTTGGCAACTGAATACGAGCGCGTGGCCGGCAAGCCGGTCGGAGATGACGTCCTTTTAGGGACGGTGCTGAGATGTCTTCCACAGGCCATTCGCCAGCATATCCAATTGCAAATGACTGAGACGACTACGTATTCTGCTGTGCGAGATTATGTGGTCTCTTACGAGACCACAACGACCCAGTGGTCAACCACGAAGGTTCATCAGTCCTTGGGCGTCGTTGCGCCGCCACCGGGGGATCAGGACCCTATGCCATGGATGTTAGCCGTGTTACGCAGCTGATTGCAGAGCTGAATCGCATCAAAGGAGGCAAGAAAGGCCCAGGCAAAGGTGGAGGAAAGAAAGGCGATGGCAAGGGAAAGAAAGGCGATTCTAAAGGCAAGCAGTCAGTTTCATACGGTCATCAGGGTTATGGGTATAGCAACCAAGGTGGTAAAGGCGGAGGAAAGAAAGGCGAGCCCAAAGGCTTTCGGGTTTAGTATTTGGGGTTTCGGGTTTAGTATTTACTGGGTTCAGGTTTTGGGGTTGCACAGCATGTGGTTGAGGGTTTCGGCAACTTCAGGTTCTGAGTCTAGGGAAAGCCCACTGGAAACCGCAAGTAAGTCAACGGGTACTTATGTGAGCCCTAGAAGACCCCTATTCTATAAAAAAAAGCCCATGCAGAAGCATTTGCGGCCTGATCCAAAAACCCAAGGCCCTAAAAACCCTGAACTTTAAACCCTGAACTCCGTGAACCTTGGATATACTAGGCTCCCCAGTAGCACCCTTTTGCCCTTGTTCTTTTAGGGTTCCCAAAAACAAAATTGTAGGAAAAGGGCACCCTTGCCATTAGGCAGCTACTGTCAAGAGCCCTAGCGCGACAGATGATCAACGACCTGACACAGTCCTCCGCATCCAACATCGATGAGGCTGATACTTGAATCCTTGTCTGGACGGTAACACACGACGTTTAGCGCGTCTTGCAGCAAAGCTAGGTTTTGGTGCTAGTGCTAACCCCAGAATAATAGGCAAAGACTTTGACGGAATCCCAGACCCGCTATCTTAAACAGCCCCTCTTGGCTTCCATTCAGAGGGAATGTGGAATCTGATTCTTTGGGGGTGCAAGGTGTAGGCTTCAATCCATAGATTTTGGTATGGTTGAGGGTTTTAGCTCGAAAATGTGAAAGAGTATTCAGATGAGGAGCTTGGTCTGCTGGTGTAGTGATGCAGCCTCCAAGAAGAAGTACAGTCGCCAATAAGCCCTGCAGCACGGCTTCGGGTTGTAGCTCGGTGTTCAATGGCCTTTAAACCCTAAAGCCTTGACCCTAAACCCTAACGGCTTGAGGTGTAGGGCGACGAGGGCCGCCAAAGAGCACCCTCTCTGGGTTTCTGTTCTCACGGTTTCGGATTCAAGGCGGCAGTGCCATTTCGCACATGCGCGTTTTTCCTGCGCATACGGCAGGGTTCACATTGCGGTGAGTGCATATAATCCCGACGAAAATCGGTGAGTCTACATCCTGGATGCCACCACGGGAATGCCAGCAACACACAACCGAGGCCACAGAATGAAAGAAGAGAAACCTCCCCAAAATGCGAAGTAAGCCCCAAAGAACCCACCACCGCTTTCAAGCCTTGGCATCCTCACAGGCTATGGAGCTGGTAAACTTCGGCACGAGGCCTCTTCACTGTGCGATTCCGATACTTATTGGCTGTAAACTCAACTTTTCAACTTCTGGGGTTCTTATAAGGTAGTCGATTCTGAAAGTTTCAACTTTTATTTCCTTGGGTTTTGGGCCAGTGAGGATAATTTCTGGATGTTCAGCGCATTGAGTCTGGTTCTTACATATTGCGGAGGTTAGAAACTTCACGAATATGGGATCCCCTTATAGTTCTCCTTCGAGTATACTACAATGTATCCCCAAACCCGTTGAGACATGGGTGGTTGTCAAGATTATGGTCCCTTTTGGAGTACCCTAAATATTAGGTGCCGTATTATAATATGGACCCACAAAGGGACCCTAATATTGACAACCACCCATATTGAACGCTGGAGGGTTCCTTACGTCAAAAGGATTCTGAACAACCGTAAACCCCGAACTCGAACCTTTAAATTCGCCACGATTATGTCCTATCACTAGATCGGAATGTCGAACACTGGGTTCACTCAGGCCCCTCTACTCTACTCCGCAGTCGGCGAGCGCGATTTGAGAAAACCATTTCTGAAATAAACGCTGTGAGGCTGCGAAGTTCTGCAGGATGCGGGGATTTGGGGCTCAGCTATCCGAATAATAGGAAGAAGGTACCCTTACGTTGAAGGGAGTACTTTGGAACACAGTTAGTTTGTATTGACAATCTTGGGGTATTGGGGGCTTGCTCATACGTTTAGGCTTCAGGGTTTTCGGGTTTCGGTCTTAAGAACCCCACGGTTCAAGGATGTTTTTGGTTGCTGTGATTCGATAGGTATCCCAAACCTCCAAGTATGAGTACATCTGCCAGGTTCTGCTTTCGTACCCCTATGCCCCTTTCATGTTGGGGTCTCCAAAATAACTGAATTCCGGACAAAGGGCACTCGTATCCTTCATGGTTTACTTCCAACCAAGGTTGTAATACATGGTTCTAAGTAACATGAACCTTGGTTTCTGGGGCTTGTAGCGGTTGGCTTCTGCTTGCAGGTTGTGCAGGCAATTTTGTGCTTAGTGCTGCTTGGGGTAATGCGGAGGCCGGAAAAATTCCATTATCATTTCTGAGCGTTCATGAAACTGTGATCTACCCCAGAATCCTGTGCTAATTATTGGCGCTACTCTAGTACAGGTCTACTATTTGCTTAAGGAACCCCCAAAAAATAAAAATAATAATCCCTATATTACCCCCATAAGGAATATATTTTTTATTTTTTGGGGGTTCTTAAGCAAATAGTAGAGGTATAGGGATTTTGCCTTGATGGTTTTGGGGCTCAGGGGCTTATTGCCTGCCCAGAACCCTTAACGGATTTAAGAGGAAAACACCGGATTTCAATGGGTGTCCTGCGAATACACGGCAAGAAAGGCCTTTGGTCGAGGGGTTCTCTGTTTGCAAGATTCGCTGCGAATCCGGATTCTGGGGTTAGGGTTGTGTAGACCGCGAAATGTCCATAAACCCTGAAACATTACTATAGGTTCCTGGTCGTACCCTTTTGCCCTTTCTTAATTAGGGGCCCCTTATTAAAGCAGAATATTTGCAAAAAGGGTACCCATGTTATAAAGGGGCTACTCAGGAACCTAGATTATGCCAAACCTAGTTAAGGTAAAAGCCAGAAAGTTGGAATATGATTATCCTAACCCTTCTATGGTAAATTATAGTGTATCCTACCATGAAACCATATTCCAACTTTCTGGAGTTCCCTGTATGGGTTTAGGTGCATATCGGGTTGGCAGGATGAGGAGCATTGCCTCGACCTCGATGAACCATCGCTCCAGCCGAGCCCATACGGCCCAAAGCTCAGAATACCCTAAACCCTAAACCGTCGGCTTGGCGGTTCAGGGCATGCTGGGCAGTATCGGGTTTAGGGTTTAGGGTTTCCCCCATCATAGCCGAAGTGACCATCATCCCGGACCATCAGCGCTCTTGCTGTTCTAGATACTTGTGGTCCTAGTATGTTCTGCAGGCCTACACGCGGGCTAGAGGCTTGGGGGTTGAGGTCTAGGAGTACACTTTGAGAGTGAATTTTCGAGTAGGCTTGTGCCTACAAGTTCTTGCAGCCCAAGCTCGTGTCAACCCTTAAAGCAAACCCTTAGCCCCGAATACGTGCTGCAGGGCAATACGAGACAAGGCTTGCAGAAAAAGCTGCAAAACCCCAAGAAACGTGACGCCAGCAAACTAATCCAAAGCCCGAGGCCTCAAATCCTGCGGCCCCCAACGTGAAACCACAAAACCATTGCCTCACTCCGTGCTCTGTGTTTGCTGCAGGGCTGCCATCTTGGGGGCAATTCCGCACTGTAGTGAATGCAGCAGTCGAATACCCTCAACCCTAAAACTTCAAGGGTACTTAGAAATAATTTGTATTTGTTGGTTCCTCTAGTCCTTAAGAAACAGCTAAACTTATAGCTTTTGCTAGGGGCTGAAGTTCAATATGGAAAACCCAGAATAGTTTCTGGCAGAACTCGAACTCTCAGCGAAGCCCTCCGATAGGAGGCTGGGATGAGGAGTGAGTGTGTAGGGGCTACACCCAACCATGATCTCCTGTATGAGTCTTGAAAATGGCAGGATTGTTTTAGAGTCCTGGTACCTGTAGCACCAAAAAGCCGACCGTCTAAAGGAATTCTATACAGAAACCAGAACAAGGGACCCTAAAAACCCGGCTACAGGCGGTGTTTTGGTTCAGGAAGTCTGCACCTGCTGTTCAGGGCGCAGGGCGTAGGGATTTGATGTAAGGGCCTTGATAATTAAAATAGGGTTTGGGGATAAGGGTTACTGTAAGGGATCTATAAGGGACATTGAATATAGGGGTCTTAAAAACTAGAATGGGGTGTTGGGGTATACTATACTATAGTTATAATAAGGAACCACCCCTCAAGAAATGGTTTTGGTAATTTCTAGGCCCCTACATTGCTATATGGGTTTAGGGTAATATTCGACTAGTTGTAGGATAGGTTTTGCATGTTTTGGGTCGTTGGTGGCGCGGGGATACTTCTAGAAGCAGTTGTTTTCATGTACCTGCCGCCAAGAGCAGAGCATAGTATATTAGCTTCACGGTTTCCGAGGGGCCTTATCGGGATCTGAAGATGTGGGGAAAGTTAGGGCTAGGAATACCTGAGCCTGGTAGGCCCTGAACACCAAACCTACTTTTAGAGACTATTCGAGGGTTTCATCTTGTCACAGCTTCTCGAGGCCAAGCTAGGTGTCTGTTTCAGGATCCGCGTTATTCAAGTGGCGTATTCTTTAGGGATTCCGAAGAGGCACGCCAAGAAACACGAGCGCCGATGAAGGTCTTCACTTTCCGCTTTGAGCAGACGGCCAAAGATGGGGAAACGTCGTTCCGTGCTCGCTTTAAACATTGTCGTATGGCTTAGTGAAGAGCGTCAGGTTTTTTTACAGTCCAATCGCACCGCCAATTGTAGCTTCTCGAAACCCGGAGTGTGATTTGGGAACGTAGGTGCCCTAGAAAACCTTAGACCTCTTTCACTCTAATGCTAGGCCCTGAACACTACGGCTTAGACCCTAAACGCTTCACCCCCGAACCCTAAACCCAAATGTTTCAGCCAGAGGCTTGGACGGTCTGGGCTGAATAAGCAATCTGACTCCATGCTTTCGAGCTTAGGGTTGCGGTGTTTTCAGGCCGGGTGGTTCGACTAGGTTCCTGGGTAGTACCCTTTTTGCCCTTTGCATTTTCAGAAGGGACTGTCCTGGGGCAATTTTGCCCTCCCAGTGGGGTTGCAAAACCCCAAGCCCACGTGGCAGGCCGCTCTCCAGAAGGGCCCCTAATTAAAAGCTGAATATTAGGAAAAAGGGTGCCCTTGTTTTAAAGGGGCTGCTCAGGAACCTAGTCGAGGAAAGGGGAAGTGGTTGATTTCTCCCCACATCGTTTTGTATGTCACACGGTGTCGTTTTATCGCGGCTGGCCCCTTGTCTCTTGTTGCACTCCGCTGGGCTGTGCCCGCAGCTTTCCTGGACACCCCCAACAGCAAACGCCCCAAATTTGTATTTCCTCGATTGCACCCGCACACCCCCAGCAGGAAAACTCTGAAGACCCTTCAAGTTTTCATGACGTAAGCTGTGAGTACAAGTAGCTCTTTAGAACTTGACAGCCTTATGAGCGCCGACAGGATGTGATACGTGCGGAGGGCTTAGATTGCAGCACCCTTGACGAAGGCCCCCGCTGAGCAGAAGTCCTGAACAAAAGCAAGGCCAAGACTTTGTTGACGAACACGGTGTTCTGCCAGGGAGCATCACCACAATGTAATGAAACGATCCTGCAGCCCTTGTGAGCCCTAATACAACCCGTATCACGTAATATCCCCCTCCTCCCAGAACCATTACACGACCCTCACGTAACCCTTTCCCTGCCCCTTCAACACATGCCCATTGACTCTTGGATGACCGTAAGACGTAAGCCTCAACCTTATAGCTTTGACTTGATCCTTGAGATAACCACTATGCAACCCTGATATATATATATATATACATACATACAGACAACGCATTAAGTACTTACCTAGCAGCATCCTAAACAACTGGCCTAGGGATCCTGAAAACCAGGACATTCAGATCCCACGAGGTTTTCGCATCATGCACACTGCTCAGGTGCGTGGGCGTGGGATGGCCAAAGCGCCAGCCCACCGCCGGCTCCCAACGCCGACCTGGCGTTTGGACAGGAGCTGCGAGCGCCACGGCAGGCGGCGTTGAAATTGCAGGATGTCAAGGGATTCTGTGCAACCTTTGGGAACAGCAAACCTTCTGAAGGATCCCGTAGAGGCCGAAGCTGCAACAGCGTTTGTGATACCTCAGTGGTGAAATTGACCGTTGTTGAGGAGTTCCCGAAAAGTGGCGGCCAGGATGCCGAAGGCCCGAAGATTGCCAACCAAATCCGCTAGGCGCAGTAATTAGTTGCATTGACAAAGTAATGAGTTTTGCGAAAAACAGCCAGCCTTCGTGGTAAGCTTGTGAAGACAAGCCCAGCGGACCAAAGCACCCACACAGTGTTTGGAGGAGTTAGGTTTGATCGCAGGCTGCAGTAGACGGACTAATTTCCGGCGAAAGAGGCAACGTGGAGGCTCAGACGATGGGGCGGAAGCTGGCTCGCGCTGCAACGCAGATCAGAGCCGCCAAACTTTCCGAGCTTGGTGCACTGGTGCAATACGTCTTCAAGCATCTGTTCTCGAAGGGGTCCGAAGCAACCTGGACCAGGCCTGTTTATTTGACTGATTTAAACCCGTGGTTTCTCTTTTGCTTGGACATGGACCATTTGCGTTAGCATCAGGCTCAGACTTCTTCGTCTTACGTTCCCCCAGCAGCCTGAACACTCCGACTCCTAAACCCCAAACTGCAAGGTACGTCCAACCCTTCAACCCACAGGCGTGTCCAAGCCGGCCCCTGTCCGCTCCTCGCCCCGACGGCCCATGCCAGCAATCGCAAGACTGGCAACAACCGCAACAACTAATGACAAGCGCAACGACGACGACAACAACAGCCATACTCCCGAGCATGGCCAGCGCAAGCCTCAGCTTTTGTGCCCCGCGGATCTTGGGGGTCCACGGCTTAATGTTTTGGGTTTGGGATTTAGTATTTGGATTTGGGTTTTCCGTTTTAGTTCAGGGTCTTGGGATTAGTTCGGGTTCGGGTCCAGCCTGTGGAGTTATTGCAGAAACGGTTACCGTTGAGACCGTCGCTTCAGAGCCCAGCTTGCATGGCCCAAAGGAGACATTCAACACATGGATGGGGGTATTCCAAACACCCTTTCGTGGTCCACCTCGGGGGTTCTTCAGCTGCCGGCATCGAGGTAAGTTTATCTCGACTGCATTAGACTGGTAAGGCAATCAAACAGACGGTGCCGTGAATCGTGTTTATGGGACTGACTGTGGTGGACATGACTGACAGCGGTAAGTTCATGTGGTGAACATGCATAGGCTCATAGCAGCAACAAATACTCTCAACATCAAAGGCAGTGTGCATCAAGGGCAGTGTGGGCCACGGTGATCCATTGATGAAGTACTGAGCACAGGTCATGACCATGATAAGTGTTAATTATGATCACCACACTGTTGCAGATGCGATGTGTGCCGTCGGAACTTGGTGTGCCATGTTTTCTTGGCGCTCCTTGCTGTGCTTCTCTGAACCTAGTTTCATGTTTTCGTCCATCGTATACAAGTACCACAGGGGAAAGACTCGAACTAGTACAACCCATTGGTACAGATTTTTTTACCAACTTGCCAAGTGGATACCTGGATGATGGGTTTTGAGTGGCAAAGTCACGTGTTAAATGGTTAGAAATGGCCGACCACTTTCGTCCCAGACCCTCATTCTCATGGCGTACTCGGGAGACTGGGCCCACCATGGCCGACTTCCAGACTTCCCACATCAAGGACGATTACATGAACCCACGTGGAACATGCAGCTCCAGATGTGGCTGATCCCCAAGCCCAAGATTCGCATCCTTCCTCCTTCGCCAGAGTCGCCCTGATGCTGAGCTCCGAAGCGGGTCGTATTGGTTCCTTCGCTCACGACAACAAGCAGCGCCGTATCCGAGGCAAGACCAACATTGAAGCCGTGAGCTACATCACCGGAGCACGGCTCGATGAGGGGACGAGCCCACACAGTGGAGAGACTCAGGACGCCTTCAGGCCAGACGTTGTGTTGTGCCCCAGAATGCAGCCTCATCAGGCATGATCCCGCCAATTCCGCCAAGAGACGCCATGGACATCGCGGAAGATGCTGCTGACGAGGCCGAGGCAAAGAGCATGTTTATTGAGCCGAGCACCTGGATTCAGCTTGTGATTTTGACTCGCTGTATGTTGGGCATGAAAGACATCCGAGAAGGCTTGCGCCACATTGTCGTGACCAAGGCTCCGGAACATGTCCAGTGCTACTCGCAGCATTTTGAGATCAGTCAACTCTTGTTGTAGCCTCCGTCGCAGCCGTGGTGAAGCCCTGACCCTAAGAAAGGCAAAGGAGGGATGATTGTGAAGAAGCCCGCAGGTATCAAGACAGTGGCCCAAGGTCCCTTACCAACGCCACAAAATGAAGGAGTGGGTTTTCATCGCAGGGACTGGTATCGCACGATCCAGCAGCTCCTGAAGGCGATGGACACCCAAATCTTGGACATCCTGCTGAAGGACAAGTTCCTGACGAATTGGGACTCTGTCCGTTCTGCAACAAGGGCGTCCTGGGACTTGCCAAAGTTTGTATATCAGTGTATCCGCTTCATCTGCACCCTATCTTCACTCTGGTCCGTGGTCCCGAAGCACACAGTCTCCAAGTATAAGCTGCCGCACTCCTTCTTCGACTGGCTGGGGTTCGCTTTCCACCATCCACCTGCTCACCAACATCAACCACAAAGCACTCGAGAGAATGAAACACAATCTCAACCTCGTCCGCAGCGGTCATGTCGCAAAGGTTGAGAAGAACATCACATTTGGTGAAGCTCCCAAGGCATGGCCAGACGTTGAGGTGGACGAGGCCTGCTTCGACAAGCAAGGTATCGACACGATATGGGAACACTGGGGAGGCATGGTGCAGCGTGGCAATCCGAAAAGCTTGATGCTGTTCAAGCTTCGTGCCGCGAGCACCGGGACCGGGGGCGACTCGCAAGGTGGATCGGACTCCTGTTGCCCAGAAGTGGTTGAAAAACCGGGGCGTCATCTTGTATTCGGACTCGGCCCGGTCATACCGTGGCAAGGTGGAGGGCATGCTGCGCGATGCCCAAAAAACGGCGGGTCAAGAGAGGCACGAAGTGGGTATGGGTCAAGCCTGTGTACGTTGAGATTATTCACCCACAAGCTCAAGGACGGCACAGTCATCAAGGCTAAGGGGGGAACCCCAATCATTGATCGGGCTTGGCTCTTCATAAAGGAGCGTCTCCGCCTCAATCAGTGCGGGAAGGCCTCCTCCAAACAGCTGGCAGCGCAGATCCGCAGTGCCCAATATGAGTATTGGCACCGAAACGAGGACCTGTGTGTATGTACCGGCCAGGTTTTGGAGGAGCACATGCGCAACATCCTCACCAAGCCTGGCATTCTATCATCTTAAGCACAGCGGAAACTACGACTGTCCAACACGCCTCGCACTCGCAACCTCTTTACTGCTGAAGAAAAGGACCCTGCTGTTGTGTCTTCTTCATGCAATGCTCACGTGATGCTATCCAAACGAATCTTCATGTCATGTGCACCCGGGTCCCAAAAGATCCTTGAGGGGGGTGGCATATATATATATGTATGTATATGTACATCATTTTTCATCTACCCATTGCAGAACCCGAGTACAACAATGAAAACCGTCCCTAAACACAAAAACCCATGCAACGCCAAGCCCGCAGAAGGTCCCTTTAAATCAAGCCCTATGGAACCCTGACAAAGCCCTCATAAAGCCTTACACAACGCTCTCCAATATCCCTTAATTAAAAATACCTTAAATCATACTGGGGTCCTGCTATAATTTCAGGTACATTCCTGAATTATTTTAATTAAGATATGTAGGAGTCTCTGGGCATTGGCCAGGCAGATGGCCCAAGTGCAGCTAGTGGACTTGGCGGGTCGGGAGCAGGACGGGCTTGTTTTTTAAACGTACATTAACATATGCATATATCTTGAAATTTACATGCATGCATACATACATACATATGGATGCTTTCGGGGACGGGTAGGGTCGGGTTTTTGAATGTGGGGCTGTGGTGGGGTTGCAGGGTTGGGTTTTTGTTGTTTTTCCAAACTCTGTTGAAACTGAACGTTGGAGCTCATCGGCCTCTGAAGTCTACAAGCGGGTTCCTTGAAGGGTCCCGTACATGGTTCCTCAAAGGGTTCCTTAAAGGGTTCTATAACGGATCTATGGGGCTTTGGCGTCTCTTAGGTTCCTTAGTGGTGCCCTTTTCGTTTTCTTATGTTGGGGTTTAGGGTTTCGGAGTTTAGGGTTTAGGGTTGGGTCGCCTTATCAAAACAGAATATTTGGAAAAGGGGTACCTTTATTATGGAGGAGGTTACTGGGGAATCTGCGGTTGATGATATAAATCCTGCCTTACCCAGAATGGGGGTTTCCGAAAAGAGGGGACCCACTTCAGTACCCTAAAGAGTAGGGTCCTTGCCTTATTATAAGGACCCCAAAATAATGTACCTCTAATGTTAGGAAACTCCTATTCGAGTTTCAGGGTTTTGGGTTTTGGAGCGTTGGGTTTCCAGAGTCGGGGTTTTAGGCTCTAAACGTCAGGGTTTACGGCTTCCGTCTGTAAGCTAAACTTGACAAAGCCCGCAACCTTGATGAATCTTTAGCCTAGTGCAGAATAACTTTGAAGAAAAGTAGGAAGCCCTAGAGAAGCTGCACAAGCTACGAAACCCTTATGGGAACATCTTATAAGACTATCATACCGTATAAAACCCTGAGCACAATAAAACCCATGCAGGAAAAGAGCAGTGTGGACAACAAAGACCGGTTGCCCACGCCCCGGCAGACATTCCCGGTCTAGGGTTCAGGGGTTGGGTTAGGGTTTAAGGGGTGTAGGGTTCAGCGGATTTGGGGTTCAGGGCTTTACTGGTTCGGGTTTGGGGACCCTGCATGGATTTGAATATGTTGAATGATTAGTCGTCTTTGTCCTCTATGACCGAACTATGAAGCTTTTCGAATGCTTGCAAGATGCTTCTGTTGATGATATTAGTGGCCCTAGACTATGGGATTTATGGTATATTCCTTATTACGGGTAATGCAGGACTTGTATCATCAACAGTTGCTGTAGTATTGCATTCTGAAAAGTTGTCAATGTTGTTGCCTTGGGAATCCGGTACGTCGGGCCCCAAAGGTTCCCAAAACTATTTACAGCACAGGCCTTCTGAGTAGCCTTGCTACAAGTTAATTACACTAGAAGCCAGAAAGTTGGAATATCATTATGGTAACCCCCTTAAGGGAAATTATAACGAATCCTACCATTAATCCATATTCCAACTTTCTGCAGTTCCCTTTACTGTTATGATGACTGTTACTGATATCTCCAGGGTTTAGGCTAGGAGCTTGCGGAATTGGGCTTGGGGTTGCGACAGGTTTAAGGAAGTATGGCGCAAACCCTCAAGCTAAACCCTTGACCCGGAGCCCAGAAGCCCTTAAACCCTGAAACCTTGAATACCAAGAAAACTCAATCCCTGAAACCCGAAACCCTGAAATCCCGAAACCTTAAACTAAAACCCTAAACCCTGAAACCCTAAAGCCCTAAACCCAGAAAGAACCTTCAAATATCGAAGCACTAGACAAAAAACTCCTAAAACCCTGAACTCCCTAAGACCCCGAAATCATGGATCTGAGGCGCGAGAGCCTCGCCTCTATGTCCCACCAACCCTTTGAAGTCTACTGGGCTTAGCAAGGGCTCCTTTAATTTAAGGTACCCTCCTGGACCCCCAACAAAAAAGCAAGTGTACTAAGTAATCCGTAATTCTACAGATCCATCCAATTCGCATTGGCATCTTCAATTCAATTACCCTCTAATATACCCCAAATACCCACTATTAAGGGGCCGCAAGGACTCTGTTACAGGGCCATTGGGGGGGAGTCGAGTCCCAAGTCTCTGCAGCCAGATTTTACAATAGAGCAGGAGGTCACTGATGAGATATTAGGGTTTAGGGTTTAGGGTTCAGGAGTTTTGCATCTTGAAGAGTTTAGGTTTCTCTTCGATGATGAGGCCAGAATCGGAGCTTGGGTTGGCCAGCTAGGCTTTTGTGACCTAGCGATGATACAAACAGCACGCTTGCGGCGAGCCTGGAAAGCCACTTGAATCTATTACTCCCAAGTCTAGCAGGGCCTTGAGACCTAGATTTGATTATGAGCAGGCTTGCGCCAAGCCGCCAGCCAGCCTGCAAATGTCCTCGAGTCCTCAGGGAATCCCAGAAGGTGGCATCGCCTCGATTCCATGCCGAGAGACTCCAATATCCCTTAATTAAGGAATATACCTTAAATTATAGTAGGATCCCTAACATGATTTAAAGGTATATTCCTCAATTAAGGGATATTGGAGTCTCTGGGTGCCAGCCGATTCAGAGACCCTCCGGGGCCTTATTAAGAGACCCTCTGGGGCCTTAAGTACAGGCTGAAGTTTCCAGCTGAGGTTCCTTAGGGGTACTTAGAAGGTATTTTTCTGTTATTATAATCCCTAAGAAACAGCTAAAATGATAATTTTTGCTAGGGTTCTAAGTTCAGTATAGGTTCAGCCTTCGGATGCAGCGGTTTCTAGAATCAGCCGTGAGCTGTCGAAGCGTATGCTGCGCATCTTCGACAGTTGATGTTTGGAAGGTCAGAGCATTGCAGTTCCAGCTGGGTACGTCCCAGAAGAAGAGATGCTTTGCCGATGGGCTTTGCACGGAAGGGCCTGAGACCGTTCTATAGAATAGTGGCGCGAAGTTGGGGCTGAGTGTATCGGGTCTACTTGGAGGTTCAGGGGACTTAGTAAGTAGGGTTATAAGTAAGGTAGCTGTGCTATCTTCTAGCCCGAATCGAGGTACCCATAACCCACTTCCTAAGTCCCCTGATCCTCTAAGTATCACCCATGTGTGAAAGGATCCCTGAAGCCCTACCCAGATATTCCCAAATCCCTTAATTGAGGAATACATCTAGCCTTACATCGCATTTGGGATCCTGCAAGAACTTGAGGTACATTCCTCAACTACGGCATATTTGAAGATCTAGGTTCAGCCTAAACCCTAACTGGGCTTTGTTTGGTACCATACTTTAATACTTTTCCTTAAAGGAACCATTATGAAATAAAAGTTTCTACTGGTTTTCTCCCTGGTTACTTAAAAACCCAGCTAAAACCCTAAACTCTAAACCCTAAGCCCAAGCCGCAAACCCTAAACGACACCCTACTTGGAGGGTCGGGGGACTTAGTAAGTTTGACTTATAAGTCCCCTAAAAGGGACCCTAATCGGGGCTATGGTACTTATAAGTCTATAAAAAAACTAGTTACTAAGTCCCGCGACCCTCCAAGTACAACCCGACGAGGCGTGAGAGGCAGTTCATCAACACCTCGCTCTTCCATTTGTCCACCTGCATCATCAACCTGTCCCGCTCCAGCAAGGCTGATATTGAGGGACTTCTTGGGGCGTCTTGCCAGGGCTTAACTTAGGGGTATATACTTAGAAATAATTTTTGATTTTTGGTTATTACAACCCCTAAGAAACAGCGAAAAACTCTAATTTTTGCTAGGGGTCAAAGTTCAGTATAGGGGCATCTTGCCAGGGCTTAAGTTTGGGACCCCCTTAGAGGGTTCATTAAACAAAGGGCCCCTTAAAGGTATCGATGGGGTATTGGGGTATATTGGGTTCCTGAGTGGTGCCTCCTTTTCGGGGGTCTCCGCCAAAAATACAGCATATTTGGAAAAGGGTATCCTTGTTTTGAAGGGGCTACTCAGGAACCTACTTTTAAAAACAGGTTCAGGATATAAGATTGAGGGTTTAAGGCCCTGGGATGACATCTTTGTGGGTCTTGTGTCTTGGCACCCGACAGAGCTTCAGGATCTTCACGAGTGCCCAGAGACTCCAATATTCCTTAAGTAAGGATTACTCCTCAATCATTTTTACGGGTCCTACTATAATTTGAGGTATATTCCTTAATTAAGGGATATTGGAGTCTCTGCGTGTGGCAGGCTTCAACACACGAAATTTAGCTCTGAAAGCTTTATTTCGGGGCGACGGGCAGCGGGGTTTCTACGTCTTTCACTTTCAGTACCTCGATTCGGGTTTGGGCCTGAGGGTTCACGTTTACGGCGGCTACGATCTGGGTGAGCAGTTTAGGGCGTCGAGTTTAGTTAGGGTCTATGGTTAGGGCTTCAAGTTTAGGGTTTAGGGCTTCGATTTTAGGGTTTAGGGCTTCGAGTTTAGGATTTAGGGCTTCGAGTTTAGGGTTTAGGGTAGGGTTCGTACCTCGATTCGCCTGCTTCGGTTCCACCAATTGAGGGGGCTGCTGTGTCTTTCAGCCCTGCTGAAAGGGCTCCTTAAAGGGATCTACATGGTTCCTTCAAGAGATCTATAGGGTTTAGGGTTTGGGGTCTACTTAAAGGATCATGGGACTTAGTAACTAGGGTTATTACTGGGGGTAACTATACGGAAAACTACTTATAACCCCAATTAAGGGACGAATAACTATAGTTACTAAGTCCCACGACCCTCCAAGTGTGTCTTTCAGCCCTAACCGGCTTCTGAAGATTAAGCTGAAGCCAATAACCTCATCCTTAAACCGCAAGCCCCAAGCGGTAGCTGTTGAAAATAGGAGACCGGAATACAGGTCTCAAGGATGAAGATCCTTCATGGTTTACAGTAGAAGCCAGAAAGTTGGAACATGGATTTAGGAGGATTCGTGCTTGGATCCCTTATACTTTACCTGTAAGGCCATGGGGATAATGATGTTCCAACTTTCTGGCTTCTAGTGTAGGCTTTAGGGCTTTAGGGGTCAGTGTAGGGTTTCACGGGTTAGAGTTTTCGGGCTTTAGGGGTTAAGGGTTTTTTGAGGGGTTGGGGCTTTAAAGGTTTGGGATAACCCCTGAACCCTAAACCCTCAACCCTAAACCCCGGAAGCCCTAATTCTAGAGTTCAACTCCACACGTTCGGACACCTAAACCCCAAACCCTAAACCCCAACCCTCAACCCCTAAACCCCAGACCCCAACCCCTGAACCCTAAACCCTCAACCCTAAACCTCAACCCCTAAACCCTGAACCCTAAACCTCAACCCCTAAACCCTAACCCCTAAACCCTAAACCTCAACCGCTAAACCCTAAACCCCCAAATCCAACCCGAGAGTTCAACTCGAGCTGTGCTGACGCAGGGCCGGAAAGTCACACCCACCGACTTCGCCTTTCGGAACAGTCGCCTGTCGGGTCCTCATTAAGGGCAGCTACTTAAAGGATCATGGGACTTAGTAACTATAGTTATAAGTCCCTTAATTGGGGTTATAAGTAGTTATAAGTATAGTTACCACAATAATAACCCTAGTTACTAAGTCCCATGATCCTTTAAGTAGGGTTGAGGGTTCAGCAGCTCCGGACAGGCAGTCTCTTCGATAATAGAAAAATACCCTACCCACCCAGGAACCCGCACAATTAAGAAACCATGCTTGTTTTATTTACCCTAGAGCCCAGATCCTAAAATCCTAAAGCCTACATCCTGAAACGTAGAGCTTAAGCTTTACACCCACTCCTAAGGCCTGAACCCTAAGGCCAAAGACACCTCCCGGCTCAAGGTAGCCAAGGCGGCTGCATCAAGACTTAGTTCCCCAATACCCAGACTTTACGCTTGTTGGGGCTCCTGTAAGGTAGTAGGAATCTGAAAGCTTATCCTTTTGTTTCTGTGGCTCATTGGGGAAGTAAGAATCTTTAGGCATCTGAATCTAAGGACTCATCGATGAAGGCCTTTTAGGCCCAGAGACCATAGTATATCAGGCTTTTGGGCCATTTTGATGCCCAAGGAATAGGGTTTAGGGTTTAGGGCTCATTGGGGAAGTAAGACTAGGAAAAGCATGGGGAAGAGCACAATGAATGTGAGCCTCAAGGAATCTGAAGGGGTTTTCAGGAGCCCGGAGACTCCAATAGCCCTTAATTAAGGAGTACCTAGGGTTAGGGTTCCTTTAAGGGATCTATAAGGGATCTGTAGGGTTTAGGGTTTAGGGGATTCTAAAATGCCTTAATTGAGGAAGATACCTTAAATCATATCAGGGGTCCTACTATAATTTAAGGTGTATGTTCCTTAACTGAGGGATATTGGAGTCTCTGGGTTGACTGTAGCGAGACGAAAGATGACGAGGGTGACCACGGCAGTTTCTCACGAATGTTCTTCTGATGACGGGCCCGAAAGCATGAGCCCTTGCTCTAGCCGAGGCAAAGAAAGAGACTACGAGGGGCACACAGGAACCGAGAGAAGGAGCTCGCTATAGTCTCCTTAGGAATGATTTTTTTATTTGTGTTCATGTAAAACCCAAGAGAATATTCCCTAAACCCTAAACCCCATTAAAGATTGCATTTTTATTATGGTTCTAAGGGGAGTATAGAAAAAGCCAAGAGTGGGGAGGACGAGCCGACAAAGAAAGTGATTGACCCCGACACACCATCCTGTAGCCGAAAAGACCTACCTTTTTGGGGTTCCTTATTATGGTTTCTATGTATAGTTCCTTAAAAAGGTAGGTCTTTTCGGCTACAGGATCGGGCAAGCGGAGGAAGATGCACAGTGAGACGGGTTTAGAGGTGTTGCTTTCCTTCTAGGGCGTCTACACGGGGAGTAGAGAGAAGAGGATATGGCTGCTCAGTGAACATGCAGACCTGTACAAAACACAGAGAACATTCAAGGTTCACTGAACGCCCACTTGGAGGATCATGGGACTTAGTAGCTATAGTTATAAGTCCCTTCATTGGGGTTATAAGTAATTATAGGTATAGTTACCCCCAGTAATAACCCATACTAAGTCCCATGATCCTTTAAGCAAGCTTCAACTCTCGCTGCTTGCCAAGTCCCTGCACTCTCTAGGCATGCGGCCCCGAACCCAAAACTCAGAGCGCGTAAACATTAGTATAGGGGCCTTAATGATTAGAACAGGGTTTTGGGGCCCAGTATACTACAATTCTAACAAGGAAACCCCAAAATAGTATGGGTACTTATTTAAGCCCCTATAGTAAACATTACAACCCTGCGGCCGCATATCCTGACCTCACCCTTTTGGGGGATCCGTAAACTTTCCATGTTTCTCTTCATTCAGCGCTATGTGCGTATCATCCATACTATCCAGATATGTTCCGACCAGAGGTAATGAGAGAGTCTGTTATCTGTGGATTACTTGCTCCCTAGTCTCAACTACATGTCCCGAAATCATAGATTCTAGATGTTTCAGGAACTTACAGAGCTGCACCCGCAAACCTAAATCTTCCAAAACAATCCATCTGCACATGCATTCGCAAACCCTACCAAGTGGCACCTTCTGACACCTTATTTCAGGCAGTAGGTGACCCAGTCATAGCCTGGCTTAAAGCCTTGTAATCGCTGGTAATTAGCACAAGCCTGTATAACCCATATGAAACACTTGTAAGAACCGAAATCCTGAACCCTTCGAGCTCGAGCCCTAAACCGGATATCCGAAATCGAAGCCTTGCCTGTCGGGCTTTCGGGTCATGTTCGCAAAGCACGGCTTTGAAACGGCATCTACTTCAGCGGTCGGGATAAAGAAGGGTAGTGGCCCCTATAGCCTGCAGAATTATACCAAAATGCACTCCGACCGTTAAAAGATTAAACTTCTTGGGCCAGGGTACTCAGCCCCCACACACAGAACTCTAACAGTCTATTGGTTTTAGAGTTTTAAGTTTAGAGCTTTAAGGTTTAATTCCAAGGGTTTGGGTGGTTGTTTGGGGATTCTTGATACGAATGAACCGGCCCTGAAACATCTCATGACCGCTCCTTCCAATGATTACGGCCCCTTTATGAAACCCTACAAACCCTTCTAGCAACCTTGTCAAACACTCTAGAACCCTCCAAAAAACCTGTAGTACCCTGAACCTCCAAACGGAGCCATGCGAGTCCGGACTTAGGACGCTGCTTGCGCAATCACGCCCATTCAAGGGAGTATAGTCCCCTACCCCCCTAAGGGTCCCTATGGACCTTGATAGGTGCGGTATTATAATAAGGATCCAAGAAGGGTCCCTAATTTTGACAACCACCCAATGCGAGTCCGGACCTAGGACGCTGCTTCTGGCCAACTCGCTCAGTGGCAACTCTCGAACTGGGTCCGCGCTTTCCGGGGTTTCGCGAGGTTTAGTAAACAATAATATAGTTGCTCCTAGGGTTCCTTTAAAAGGGGTCTATAATAAGGGTTACTAGAAGGGATACTATAAGGGCAGCACAGCACTACAGTATAGGGGCTTAAGTAATCACCAATAATACTATAAGGGCAGCACAGCACTACAGTATAGGGGCTTAAGTAATCACCAATAATTACTATTTTGCGTGTTCCTGATTAGATAAATAGTATATTGGGCTCCTAAATCCTATTCCAACTGATTGTTGAGGCCCCTCCTCTAGTAGAGGGAAGAGCTCAGGGTGTAGGAAGTCAAGGTTTGAGGGTTTGGGCTTCAGTGGTTTACGGTTTCGGGCTTACTTGGAGGATCCTGGGACTTAGTAACTATAGTTATACGTCCCTTAATTGGGGTTATAAGTAATTATAAGTATAGTTACCCCAATAGTAACCCTAGTTACTAAGTCCCATGGTCCTTTAAGCAGGGATCAGGGTTTGGAAAGTTCTCGCATTTTGGATAGCTGGCCATTGCTGTATTGGCCGCAGCTTTGTGATTCGTTTGACTGCTGCTGTAGATTCTGCAGCTCTTCTGAGATATCACTTTGATGCCTCCTTTCAAGAGACTGGTTTTCATCATACTTCTCACTGGGAACATGGCCGCTTCTTGTAAGAGTGGAAATGGTCGCACTAATCATGTCAGAGCAATGAAAGCGAGCAACTCCCATCATCCTCCTCCTCCGCCTCCTCCTCCTCCTCATGATCATCGGCGAAGTGATGCTAGTAGTCAGCTCTAGTCGTAAAGTTTTGTTTTTTTGCTGAAAAGCACACTGGGCTCTACTTGAGCCCTGAGTGCTCTTGTTCTAAGTCCCATAAAGGACGCATTGTAACATCTGGCCAATTCTACGACCTCAATATAGATTCTGCCGGCGTAGCCAGAGCACACCTCCCAAGGAAGGTAAGAAGGTAAACCGTAATCCCTAAACCGTAAAACCATTGAAGGAACCCTCAGGAAGAAGAAGGTTAACTCTAAAGCCCAAATCCCATAGAGGAGGCCTTAAAAGGAGCCGAAGAAGAGGAACTGAAGAAGGTAAACCCCAAAAACCCAAAATCCGGAAGCCCTAAACCCCTAAGCCCTAAACCCTAAGGGAACCCTTGTAGGATCCTTAAGGGTTCCTTTAAGGGATACCTAAAAGTTCCTTTAAGTGGTCCTTAAGGGAACCCTTAAAGGAGCCTACCTGGAGGATGGTTGCGGCTCTGAGCCCGGCGAGTTCCGACCTGGATGAGACGCTAAGCCCGGGGGCCTATGCTGGTATTGCATACTAGGGTTTCAGGGTGTAGGGGTTTAGGGGCTTTGGGTTTAGGGTTTAGGGGCTTTGGGTTGCCTCTTAGGGCTCTAACTTTTCGGGTTTCTATATGAACTACAATAAGTTGGCAAAAAGTTTAACTTTAAGAAGGGGTTCGGAAGTCGGCCAGGTATACCTGGACCCCTGGAGACCCCCCGTTTTAGGGTCCCTACATCCCATAATCCAAGGGTAAAAGGAGGGACCCTTAACAAGGAGCCCCAGGTATATACCCTTAAAATAGCTATTATATACCCATTTTATAGCCCCATTATAGGGTAGGGGTCCCCATTAAGGGTCCCTCCTTTTCCCCTTTGACATAGAGGGACCCATAAAGGAACTCTTAAGGGCCCCCGCATACGGGCTCCCGCATGGGATCGACCGGGCCTCCTTCAAGGGAGGCTTTGGTCCCTTCTTACAGTAATACCCAGAGACTCCAGTATCCCTTAATTAAGGAATATAACTTAAATGATAGTAGGATCCCTAATATGGTTTACGGTGTATCCCTTAATTAAGGGGTTGGGTCTGGGCATCATAGGCCTCCTTATCCTACTTGGAGGGTCGGGGGACTTAGTAACTGGGTATTTTACAGACTTATAAGTACCATAACCCCAATTAGGGTCGCTTTTTGGGTACTTGTAAGTCCTAAACTTTTAAACCCTGAAAACCCTAAACCCTAGCCCTAAACCCGAAACCCTGTAAGCCCTAAGGGACCTGCGCTTTTAGGGTTCCTGCTTATGATTTTCGTATCTAAGCCCCTTGAAAAGTTAGGTTACTTAAAGGATCATGGGACTTAGTAACTTTGGTTATTACTGGGGGAACTATACTTATAATTACTTATAATCCCAATTAAGGGACTTATAACTATAGCTACTAAGTCTCATGATCCTCCAAGCATTCGGGGTTCAGGGAGGCTTCAGGGTACGATGCTTTCGCCTGGAGCAGAATCGAGTCCATCTGCACATTATGGAGCCCATCACAAATGTGAGCACCATTGTACCTGTGATCTTCGTTCGCAAGTTTGATGCCTAGGGTCGTAGGGCTTTGGGAGGATGGAGAGTTCCAGGTAGGGTTTTGGGGGTTTGGGAGTTAGGGGTTTAGGGCCTTACGGCGTTGGGTGTTTAGGGTCTTAGGGCTTTATGGGTTTGGAGGGATTTAGGGTCTTGGGCTTGGGGCTTGAGGGGTTTGGGGTTTCAGGGTTTTGGGTTTTTAGAAGTTTAGGGTCTTAGGGGTTTTCGGGTCTTGGAGTTCTGGTGTTTGAAGCTCGAACCCACAGCCCTCACTCACTATTCAAGGCCCAAATCCAGAAGAACCAATCCGCAAACTCTAAGCCTGTGCAAAACCCCATAAACTGTCATGAAACACTGAATGCATGTCCTATTGAAGCAGATAAAACGGTTATTAAGCACAGTACGCTAGACTCCAGAAGGCTGAAACGTGGACCCAAGATCACTGTTGCTGTGGCCTGTTATACTCTAGCTAGGTTGGATTTTGGTACATCTTCTATTTTCCTGACTTGGATTTAAGGGACCCTGTATATATATATATATATATATATATATATATATAGATATTTTTCGGGGTGTTTAAAGGCCAACCCAGCTAGAGCAAGCGTGTGAGTCCAACCTTCCGGCTTCTGATTTGAAACTCCAGCCAATAAACCCGAAAGAAGGCAGTAGAACCAAAAGCAGAGCAGACAGCATCCTTTTCAAAGCGCGCTACAACCCCAAACCCTAGACCCAAAACCCTAAACCCCCAAAAAAAAAAGACCCCAAATCCAAAGCCCCAAACGAACCGCACAGGCACTCTTCGGTTCGCCGACATGGTGAAGCAGATACGGACACGGTTTAGGGTTTAGGGTTTGGGGGTTTAGGGTTTAGGGGTTTAGAGGTTTAGGGTTTAGGGCTTTAGGGTTTAGGGTTTGTTAAGGTTGAGGGTGTCACTGTTTAGACGCACAGTTGTTGTAGGATGTAGTAGGGTTTGCATCTAGGATTTGGGGTTTTGGAGTTCGGAAATGGGCTCATGACTAGCTTTGGGCTTAGGGCACGAAAAGCAAGCGAGAGGGAAGCTGGAAGGTTTGAGGTTCTTAATTGCCCAATACCGAACTTTCAGACTTTTTGGGTTCCTTTTACATGGATCCTTAAAGGGGTCTATAAGGGATCAGTATCTTAGTTCCGCAATACCCAATCTTTAAACTTTCTGGGTTCTTGTAGATTAGTAGTGACTGGTTAGCCTTTATTTCTGTGGCTTACAGGGCAAGTAAGTCTTTACATTACCAGTCCCACAGGAAGGGATAGCTTGCCTGGTGTCCTGGGTGGTAACCTGGTATTGTCACGAAGGTTCACCAGGGGTGGTTTTGAGTTAGGGGTATCCTTGTGTCTGTGTGGTTGCTTGATGCCATAAGCTTTGCCTATTTTGTGAGGCCTCAGTTTGACTGAAGTTGGATGGTTATTTCATGCGTTTTGGTTGCTGGGGTGCTGCCCGGAATAGGGTGTTGGGGATCAGATTGTTGAGGGTTTGAGACAACCACCGAGTTTCCTGTTTTCCCAGGAGGCTAGAGTACCCAAGCAACCGAATGACTCTGAGCACCTAAACGTCAATCCCGAAACCCCGAAAGCCCTGAGACCTTAAAACACTAGAAGCGAGACCCCAAACCTTGAAAACTCTACTACGACATAGTACCTGAACCCTAAACCGTGAACGCTAAGCCCTAAACCCTGAACACCAAACCTTAAGCCCTAAACCCTGAACACTAAACCCTAAACCCTGAAAACTAAACCCTAAACCCTGAACACTAAACCCTAAACCCTAAACACTAAACCCAACACCCTAAACCCTAAACCCTGAACACTAAACCCCAGAAGCCCAAAAGCCCTAAACCCTAAACCCTAAAGTAGCACAGACATGACAGCCCATGGTCTCGGCCCCGTCTTCCAGTTTGGCTCACAGATGCACAGGGTGCAAACATAGCACAAGGGGCCGGCGCACGGTTAGAGCAGTTGTTGTGGTGTCCACTCTACTGGAACTAAGTGGGTGGTTGTCAAAATTAAGGCCCCTTTTTGGGTAGCCTAAATAATAGGTGCCGTATTATAACAAGGACCGGAAAAGGGGCCATAATTTTGAATTTGGCAACCACCCAAGTAGGGATTCCAAGGGCTACCCAGAGACTCCAATACCCTTTAATTAAGGAATATTCCTTAAATCATATTAGGGATCCCATCATAATTTAGGGTATATTCCTTAATTAAGGGGTATTGGAGTCTCTGGGTACTGTACGCTCTCTGCTCCCTTCTGCAGCCGGGGTCTCAAGAGTGACCGGGGTTGACTAAGTGATGATAACCCCTACTTAATAAGGAGCTAAAGAGCCAAGGGAACCCCAAAACCACTGCTTAGTTGATGCGAGAAGAGCCTAGTAGTCGATTAGGTAACCTTCAACCTTTTTGGGGTAGTGTATAGCCCCTATATAATCCCTATAGAGCCAAAAAGGTTAACCTTTAGTTCCCCATGATACCGGACAAGTAGCCTAAACCCTAAAGTTCGAAAGTCCCTAAACCCTAAACCATCCTAAACCCTACAGTCCCTAAACCCCTAAACCCGACAAGTAGGAGAGCTCCATGCTGTTTAAGAGCTCCACTAGGTGGGGCTTTGGGACATTCTGTATGTTCCCTTATTGGTGAGAGGATCTTATTTACGAAAACTTTTCAAAAGCACCCCCCACCTAGTCCATGATGTTTAGATGAATCGTTCTTGACCGATCGACGGCTTACGTTTACGGTTTCTGCGAGGCTCCCTAATGGAGGGGTGCCGGATGTTTTAGGTATAAAGGAACATCATGGGACTTAGTAACTATAGCTATAAGTCCCTTAATTGGGGTTATAAGTAATTATAAGTATAGTTACCCCAATAATAACCCTAGTTACTAAGTCCCATGATCCTTTCAGCACCTCTTCTAGCTGGCAACTGATGTAGAGCTTGGCTACGAACCACATCGCAAGACGGACTTCGCAGCATGGCAAGCTTCTCGTGAGACAAGAACGCGAGTCCGGTCTTGTTCAAGATCTGCGACAAAGCATGCCTGGCGAAGAACTTGACTAACCAGCACAGAAAACTCCATCACATAACAGCCTGCGCCGTTGTCATTAACTAACTGCTTCAGGAGGTTCCTTAAGTCAGTGTACCCCAATGTACTTCACAAGCCTATACGTATTGTTCAGGCCCAAGAATCAAAGCCTTGTTTGGAACTCAGAAGGGACTGGCCGACCAGATTCAGTGTATACCATAAATTATAGTAGGAACCCTAATATGATTTAAGGAAAACTTCTTAATTAAGGGATATTGGAGTCTCTGGGCAAGGAACCTCTTGTCTCCTAATATAGGGGCTTGGATGATTAGAAAAGGGTTCCTTCAAGCGGCTCCGTTGCCGCAAAGAGTAGCATGGGAGTTTGGTATAGGGCCGTGATATTGGACTGGCGCTTTGGGATTACATGGTGGAGGTAGGCGTGTATCCTTTACCGGAACCGCGAGCCAAAACGGGAGCCTAGCTTGTTGCGATTTGGGGAACAGGTTTTTCAGCATCACTGCAATATCAATCCCCACACTGCAGAAAGTTCCGAAGGCATTAACCCTAGGATGCCCAGTAGTACCCTTATTCCCTTTTTGTAGTCCTAGGTTCCTTATAAAGTTACCCAATACCAAAAAGGGAGCCCTTTCTATTCCCAGGTTGCTGGGCATCCTAGAACCCCACATTAACCCCGGTAGTAGAGTCGGTAACCTTTAGCCTTTTTTGGGTAGTATATAGCCCCTATATAATCCCTATATAGGAAAAAAGGTTAACCTTTAGTTCTCCATGGTACCCGACAAGTAGCCTAAACCCTAAAGTTCGAAAGTCCCTATACCCTAAACCATCCTTAACCCTAAAGTCCCTGAACCCCTAGACCCGACAAATCGGAAGCCCTAGACCCAACGAGCTGCCGGCCCCTCCACTCTAACGTTAGAAGTATGGGCCCCTAATATGGACCCTTAGGCCTTTTGGGGGAGCTCTAGGGACCCTTAAGAGTCTATATAGGGTATATAGTAGGTATTTCGGGATCCCAAGGTTAAGGGCCCGTACTAGGGGCCCAGGGTTTCAAGCCCTTGATACACTGAAGAAATGTCCCAAGGCCTTTCACTATGGAAGCCCTGAAGTACACCTTTCTTGGCTGCGACCTCCCGGTCAGTGCGGAGGCACAAGCTTTGACCAGGTTTGCAGGGTGAAAGTCCTATGTAAGGTTCTTATCCTACAGGATCTTATAGGGGTCAGGGTTCCAATTTGGGTTGTTTATGGGTTTATGGGTTTCTTATAGAGGCCTCAAGATTCAGAATCTACTATTTGCTTAAGAACCCCAAAAAAATAAAACATATATTCCTTATAGGGATAATATAGGGATTATCATTTTTTATTTTTTGGGGGGTTCTTAAGCAAATAGTAGGAATAGGGCTTCGTGTATCCACTCTAGAGCAGTGCGTGTTAGTTGGAGCCGCCAGTTCTCTAGTTGAGGGGTTATATATGGGTTTAAAGGGAACTCCAGAAAGTTGGAATATGGATTAATGGTAGGATCCCCTATAATTTACCTTAAAGGGGTTACGATAATGATATTCCAACTTTCTGGCTTCTACTGTAGGGTTTGGAGAACAATTTCAGGATTCCTCACAATCTTGGGAGGCCCCTGGTAAGCTCGGGCACACGCATGACAAGTTTTCAGGAGCAAGCGCACTACTATGCTGCCGACAAGAAGCTAAGGTCAAGGTTCAGATGCCTTGCAGCAGCACGTAATTACCTATACCATTTTGGGAGCTCCTTATTTTAATTACAGTATTAAGGCGCCCAAAGACCCCATTTTGCTTCTTAAGGCCCCTATATGAAGCACTCCTAAAAGCTGAAATCCGGAACATTTCACCGGACCTATGCCCTGAGGACCTCCAACAAAGCCCCTGTAGCCCTAAAACTCAGATAATGATTATCTATTAAAGGCTACTTGGGGAGTGCTGGTAGGGGTGTACTTAGGGTTACTTTTTCTAGGGTTTAGGGTGTAGGGTTCAACCTTACAACAATCCAAAACTACAAAGCTTGTAAAACCTTAACAAACCGAAAGACGCACTAAGCCCCAGATCCTATCCCCCCTGCAAGGAACCGAACCGGGTTCCTGGTTACATTAAGGCCCCCATACTGACTCTCAGGAACCCCTACATGAACCCAGCGGAACCCCCCTAAACCCTAAACCCACAAATCAAGGCCCCCTCCATGGAACCCTCAAGGCGTACTATGGGGCTCTATGCTAGGGCTCCTTTACGGGGTACTGTGAGGTTCTATGCTAGTGCTCCCTTTAAGGGGTGCTATGGGGTTCTATGCTAGTGTGCTGTGGGGGTTCTATGCTGGGGTTCCCTTTAAAGCAACCCTGAAAGCCGCGAAGCTTCCCATGGAACCTTGCCGCGAAGGAGGCCTTTGACGCCCTCTTCCGTGGTCGTGGCCTGAGGATGTAAGTGGTTTAGGGTTCAGGGAAGTTTCAGGGTTGGTTTAGGGGTTTAGGGGTTTAGGGGTTTAGGGGTTTAGGGGTTTAGGGGTTTAGGGGTTTAGGGGTTTAGGGGTTTAGGGGTTTAGGGGTTTAGGGGTTTAGGGGTTTAGGGGTTTAGGGGTTAGGGGGGGTTTAGGGGTTTAGGGTTTAAGGGGTTTAGGGTTTAAGGGGTTTAGGGGTTTAGGGGTTTAAGGGTTTAAGGGTTTAAGGGTTTAGGGGTTTAGGGGTTTAGGGTCGGGTGAAGTGAGTGTTTCAGAACGGGTTCACTCGCGCTGCAGGGCTTGCTAA